CGAACAGGTACACTGCCTGCACGTACAGACACACTCTTACCCAAACAGACATGACATACACATCTCCTGGTGAACAGGTAAGTCTTTTGACAATGCCCTTTGCCTTAGCTTTAGATATGCCTGTTGACAGAGAACTTGACCTTTGACCTGCTGTCACGTTTCTGAGCTCTGGCGAGATACCTTTTCACAATGCTTTACTTTTTCAAGGCCCGTGCTGCTTATTTTTACAAGGCCTGAGGCCTATATCGGGTAAAGGCCCTTTTAATAAGCTGTGGAGGTACAGCCACCGACGGCGGAGGGATAACCACGGCCAAGTTCACTGCGGCGCAAAATTTTGAGTGTGCCCACTTTGGTGACCTTTTCATGCTATTCTGAAATAATTTTAGACCCTGAACAGGGAGTTGTGCAGCTCGAAAGGCTACCCCTCCCTGCCCCGATAAAATTCTTTGTGGGGGGACTATAACGTTTTGCGAAGGGACGTCAAAACGTTTTGTGAAGGGACGTCAACAGGTTGGGGAGTATGTCTGCAGGTTGACGGGTGTCCAACGGCGGGATGTCAATGAATGGAGCGGTGACAGTTTAAAGGCATTGTCGTCGTTTACCTGGAAAGCAGTTGATGAGTCGATGTAATCTGTAGATTGCTATCATAGCCAGTAGCCATGTGCAATTTTTTTTTTTGTTTTCTTTTGTTTTTTTGTTTTTTAAACTTTTTTTGTTGTTGAAAAACTACACTACATGCTTGTGTCGAATTCTGTTTTTGCCTTCCACTACCTACCTACCCACCACTACTGTTAAGTATAGAGGGGACCCCTGCAAGCATAGCTACCTACCTCACAAAGAGTCACAATGTGAAGAGATTAATCATTACTACATATTTAAATGATGCCTGGGCGAATTGTTTCTATTTCTTATTACACAAAAAGACAGGATAGGTGGTACCTGAAAGGGCTGAGGCAACTGTGCAGTAGCCCCGTTGGCCGGGCGCCTGTGTTCTACTGTTTCCTGTGTCGCAACTTCTCGCAAAACAGGCTGTGGGTTCGAGTCCTGGCAGGCTCGAACGACTGCCGCAACCGGAATCCGCGGATTATCTGCCATATTGGACTCCTGCGCATTTGCATCCCCAGCCGGGTGCCCGTTGATCGTCCTGCTGGCTGTGCTTACAACATACACAGCTGGGGAGCGGGGGAGGGTCGCTGAGGGACTGGCTGCCCTTGCGAGTCTCCCACCTTGGAATGTCCCTCTATCTGCCCTGGGTGTGTCGTGGGAGTGTACACAATTATAGCACTGGCCATCAGGGTAGGGCCTGCCAATACCTCAGCCTGCACAACCTTGAAAAAAAAAAAAAGGGGGTTGAGTCACCGTGAGTGAGCATTCTGGTCCAAAAAAAAAAAGCCGTGAGTGAGCATTCTGGTCCGTCGTTCCGACTTATTTGAAGGGTAGAAGATAAATTGATATGTGCCAAGAGATACTCCGACAGGGGCTAGAAACTGTATCGGTTTCCCCTTTTCAACTACGGCATTTATAATGGTGTGGTAAGGGTGAGTTAATACTCTCCTAACAGGGATTGAAGGTACTGCTAACAGGGGGTGCAGCTACTCATTTATAATGGTCTGGTAAGGGTGAGTTAAGACTCCTCTCCTAACAGGGGGTGAAGGTACTGCTAACAGGGGGTGCAGCTACTCATTTTGTAATGGTCTGGTAAGGGTGAGGTAATACTCCTCTACTAACAGGGGGTGAAGGTACTCGGTTAAATGGACTCTGGTAAGGGTTTCCACTTTCCACTTTACGACCCAGGTTGCCCGTGGGGTTTGAACCCAGAAGGGCCAGAACCAATGAACGGGTTCAAATTCTTCCGAACTTCAGAACGTTTGCTCGTTGTTTGTAGCATATGAAATATTATGAATGTTAGTGTAGGGTTCAGGAACTGAACTTGGAACCTTTGGATCGATCATAATCGGACGGTTCACTACATCTGCCTTGGTCTGGGTGTGTTGCACCCCGACGTGAACTGGTATGCCGGATGGCTCGAATCGTTTACCCGCAAGTCTTCGGGTGGTCGGCGCAAGGGAGCTTCGAACTCGCCAGCCGTTCAACGGATACACATTTTATTTTATTTTTTTCCTTTTTTTCTTTTTTAATTTGGAGAATTTTGGACCATTTCTCGATTGATGTGTGTCAACCTTGCGCAGCAGGGGCCATGCTAATCGTCTGTGTATCTATCGTTCCATTTTTAACAGATGTTGGGAAGGACCATGCTAAACCTCTTTTGAATGTTCAAGGAATATGAGCGAGAGCGACAGACAGAAATCCAAGTTGCGAAATCACGAAGCAGGGCAGGTAGTGAAGTACCAAGCAGAGAGCACAATGCACCAAGAGATACCATCCAAATAAGAGCAATACAATGAACTCAAGTGCCAAATGCCGACGCTGTCTGGTCACACCAACAATGTATCCAATGCCACGCCTACTGTCTGACGCCCAGCGCCCAGCCTATACTACTCAGCCTAACTAGCCTATCTACGTTCATGCGACTGGATCACATCGAAGTTGAAGACCAATGTATGTGACGTCATGACCAATGCCGACCGCCAGCATACACCAGGTACGTTCTCTCTCCTCCCCTCATCACACCTTGACCCCTTCTGCATGCGCCTCCTACCCAAAGACCACCATCACCATCGCCGGCACCCACACGCTCGGCCCGGCTATGGCCGCTGTGCGCCCACTGCCATCACAGTGCCCTCTTGCCTCTTAGCGCCCGCGTGCGCCCCCAGCCTGCCTGCATAACACAGCGTCACATGGCAAAGCAGCACCGTGGCCGCAATACCTGCTCAGGCCAGAATGTCCCCACATGGGGCACACACTTTCCTTTATGGAAATTGAAGCGCTGCTGGCTGGCCTGTCCAGGCGTGTGGGAGGCCCAGTAGCTTGCCTCTGGCCCCAGGGGTCTGCGTCCAGGCCCAGTTTCAGATACTGGCATGGGTTTCTTGCAGTTAGGCACGTCCAGGCAGCCACCCAGCCTCCAAGTGTTTGCAGCATTCTCATTGGCTCGCGGCACATGTGTGACGACAAAGTGTGTCGGCCTCACACAGTGTGTGCCCAGGGCGCAACCGCCTGAGCCCTGGGCTCAACTGTACAGCGAAGCCCTTTGCTTCTGGAAAGAGCCTGGAGGCTCACATTGCTCTGTAACCAACTGGCGTGCTGCAACTGTATGGTACCCACATATGGAAAAATGCCGAAAACAGGCCTCTCATGGATATTCAGGCCAGCCTTCACAGGCTTGTTAGGGGCCGCAGCCCAGAACACTTGTATGTCTGATAAGGGCCCCGCGGGGGATGTATATCCGAAAGGGGTAATTTAATTTTAGAATAGGTGCTTAGGGGGTATACGTCGAATGACGAAGTTGCCATCCTTTAGTCTTCCAGGGTCCAATATCGCAGTGCACTCGGACAGTTCCGCAGATGTTGTGGAGTGAGCGACGGTGGGGGGAAGGGGGGGTGGGTGGGAAGGGAGGTGCTGGGGGGGGGGAGGTGCTGGGGGGGGGGGGGAGGGGGGGGGCTGGGGTGGGGAGGGGGAGGGTTCCGTATGGAATGATTCATGACAAGAAGTGTTGGAGTTGCCGGAGAACGCCCTGTGGAGACTGCATGGCTGCTGTCAAACCGTTCACGGTGCAGGAATGCGAAAACCCACCACACTGTGATGATGTCAATTCAATCAGTGTTGTGTTGCATGTTGTTGTTTTTTTCCCCCTGAGCTTTCTTCAACTTTTTTGCAAGACACGACACATCTCAGATCTGGAACATTTTTTTGGCTGACTGATTTTTTCATTTACATAAAAACGACCCGTTCGGGAAAAACAGAGAGAAATCACAAATAAAATTTAATAAATTGAAATAATTTGAAACAACAGAAAACTCTGGATCGGGAAAAAAAAAAAGATATATTGCTGGCACTGCAAAACTGCGCATTTGTTTTTGGCTCCCTGCTGTGGGCCTGGTAGGCCCGCAACTTTTTCTGCGAGGTGCTTCAGGCTCGGAAAAAATCAGAACATGTTGGACGATTTGCTTTGGAGTAGTAGTTTTAAAGAAAAGAGTCAAAAGACATTAGAAAAAGAAGAAGAAGAGGACAAGCAGATTTATCCATCTGGGGGGTGATTGAAGTCGTGAAGTGTACCGTGCAGACGTCGCCCACAGCAAAAATGTTCTTCTGTGTCGTGCGGAGATTGTCGTCGACAACAACACCATTCTTATCAACCTTCACACCAGCTTTGTCGAGGCCGAGGCCTGCCACGTTTGGCTTACGGCCCGTCGCCACGAGCAACGCGTCCACAACCACCTCTTCCAACGTCTCGCGCCCCATATCAAGAAACGTTACCTGCACCAGGCCACACATTTCTACAACTGCTCACAATATGCTCACAATAGCCCTCCTACACTCATCCAGCTGGTTTTCAACACGATTGTCTTCCAGTGCCTCTATCGCATTCATTGAATATTAAATAGAATTCAGTTCGCTCATGTCAAAGTTAGTCAAACCCTTGAAACATGCAGTTGTTGTTGATTGCATCTCGCTCCTTTCGTTCTACCGTGAGTTTTTGTCATGTTCGCTATACAAAACTCCACAAAGAAAAGCAGGGCTGTGCCCAACTGTTTCGCCAAACCTTTTCACCGATTCAGCAGGAGTACGTCCATGCTGCAGCAGACACCATCCTCGCCTTCAACCGGGAATTCAGGAGGACTAATGTGACAAGAAATGGTTCCATTTTTTGTAATGACCCGCCAAAAACACAGACTGAGAACACTGCTAATTTCTGGGATTTGCCACTGGAATGAATGCCTTGCTGTGATTCCCGCATTCTCGCAGGGCCGGTACTTACCTGTGGCCGTGACTTTGAGGGTTGCAGCGGGGGAAAACACTCGAGTAGCGGGGGTAGGCCCGCGACACTTAGAGCAGAGGGGAAAACCACTCAAGTAGCAGGTAGGCTGGTACCACTGAAGTAGTGGTAGAAGTGTCGGGTACTAAAGGCCGAGCAGAAGAAGACAAAAAGTTGGCATTTTTAGAGGCCCAGTAGCGGTAGGCTAGAGGTAGGCCAGTACCAGTCCAAGTAGCCCGGGTCTAGGGCCTGTCC